ATCACCTCCCCTTTTCTGCCCTTTTAGTTCCTCTCCCCCAGAAAAACCTCTCTTTGTACGGAAGACTTTTTCTTTTACATTTTCCAGAAAAGCAATATGTTTTTGGATTCAAACTGATCAAAAGGAAACAAAAGCTGGATAGAGCTCAAATTGTTTTACTGTATATAAAGTTTTGCGGCTTGCATCCCCAGCCGCCCGGTAGCTTGAGTCCAATTTTTTCTAATATTTGTATTCTAATTTAATTGTTTTTAAATTTTTTTAGGCCAAGCCACTGTTTGGAAACATCATGCTTCTGTTACTGCTTTCTGTTTGAGTTGGCCAGCTCTTCCTGTACATATGTTTTTTCTTATATCCTGTTTTTTTTTCTTTTTTTTTGTAAAGAGGAGGAAAAAACAAAAGAATTATTTTTTCCCTCAGTACACATTCTTCAAAGTTCAGAATTATAGTGTTTGTTAAATAATAAAGATTTACATTTAATTCCCAGCTTGTCCTTTTCCATTGTGCATTTTGGGCTCTCCCGCTTGCAAGGGCCTGTCTACACTCGAGCGGTGCTGCTACGGTGCCGTAAGATGGACACTTCCTACATTGATATGGGGAGGAGGGAGGAGTTCCATTGATGTCATTAACCCACCTCTTCCAGAGGTGAAGGAATTCTTCCATTGGCCTTAACTGCTCCTCCTGAATGGGTGAGGCCGGCCGCACTTTGCACCGAGCGAGATGTCTCTCCTAGCACTGAACAAGGCCAGTGTCCTTTTTAAGTGTGGAGTAGGCATCGCGCATAGTGGATTTTTCCATTGTGCGGCATCAAGATTAGGAGCCTGATGTCTTGTCAATTTCACTGGGGCACGAAAGTTGCCAGGGTGACTCAGCATTTATAAAGCCCCTTGAGTGAGAAGGGAAGGGCAGTGGAGCGTCTGGTGCTCTAGACCAGTGTTTCTCAACCTTTTTTATAAAGTATCCCTTTAAAAAAATAAGTACCCCCCTCCCGGTACCTGCAGTTTTCTCTCACATTTTTTTTCTATCATTGCAATACATTTGTTAAACAACTTAATTGTAGCCGGTCAGGTGGTGAAATTTTTGGGTGTAAAGTACAAAAATAATAATAACGCTGTCAAACTTAAACAAATTCAGTTTTTTCCAAATTTCAGTTGACACGCCCACTCCCTGTCGTCGTCCCCCCCCCCCCCCCCCGGACTTCTCTCGAGTACCCCTCAGGCTACTCATACCGCTGGTTGAGAGACACTGCTCTAGATGTCTGGCTAAAAGCGATAGTCTGGCTCTGCTGTATGTTGGAATCCCGGGCTGGGATGTGTTCTCTGGCCTGGCAAGATGAGCCTCACCGGGAAGATGGCAGAGCCAGGCAGGCTGAACTGGGAAGATGCAACATTGCAGGGCCTATCCTGGAACAAGGGGTTTAACTCCTTCGTGACATGGTGGATTTCAAACACGGTTTGCAGCAACATGTGGCTCGTTTGTCCCATAGGTGTCAAATCCCTCCTGTCCTTGGCTGTATGGAGGGTGGGGGGAGGTCTCTGTAACCATTGAACCAGTTTGCCTGCTTCTCCCTCCTCTCTCCGTGTGGCTGGCAGGACATCCCACCATGCGCTGATGGACTCTGGTGCTCTCCGCTTGAAGTAGTTTGGTTCAATGGCTCAGTGCCCCCACTACGCAAACTGATCCAGCACTCCTGCTGGTGGACTGCTCTGAGGGCCCATGGCCCCAGCTGCTCTGTCCCCTGCCGAGGTGCAGGGAGGCAGCTGCCGGGATTTTCTCAGAAGGCGCACAGGGGAAAAACTCTGATTCAGAGGCCGGGGGCGGACAAGCCTTTATGATTGTCGCAGAATAAAAGGCTGTGAGGATGCAACTCTGTGTATGGGCAGAAAGAGGGTTGTAGCCTGGCTATTAAACCAGCTGTGTTCTCAGTGTAGGTTGGGTCTTGGTCCCTAGGAGTGGGTGCGTCTCTGGAATATAAATGGGGAGGCTGTACATGTCCTAGCGCATGTGCAATGAAGTCTTCTGGCTCGCCCTGCAGCAATGACCCCCACTGGAACTCCTGGATTTGTTGGGAAGCAAGTGCCTTCTTTGTCCGATATTTTGCATTCCTCATGGTTGTGTAACTTCTGCTGTGTGCTTACATGGCTCCTTTCTCTAATGAATCTGATACCAGCCCTTGTTCCTCTCTCCTGTTCAAGTTTTCCTTTTTTTTGTAGTGAAGGTTTTGTGCTCTATCAGCAGTCACTTGGAGCTCTGACTCCATTCCCGACAGGTCTGATAGTCCCCGTTTAAAATAGGATGCCGAACCAAACACACAGTGCCCGAAACATCCCTGGCCACTTTTGTTTAATATAAACGTCTGGAGCTCAGATCTGCGCCAAAACTGAAGTGGCGGCGTCTTTGTGTGGATAAACAAAACGGTGCAAGCAACAGCAGCCCTTGCACACTGCCGCCGAAACAAAGCATGTGGCCGCCAGAATTGTAGAAGGAATTGCACAAGACCTGCAATTTGCAGGAATTGCGGGAAAGGAGAGGTTGACAATTTCCAGCCTTTCCCCCAGTATGCCCCATTGGACTGGGACTTGAAGAGCTGGGTTCTTTTCTTAGCTCTGCCACTGAACTACTGTGTGGTCTTGGTCAAGTTTCTTGTCTCTGCATCTCTCCTCTCCCATCCTTTGTCTTCTCCGCTTAGTTTGTAAGCTCTTTGGAGCAGGGGGCTGTTGCGTAACTACACAGCCAAGGGCTTTGGGACCTCTTAGGGGTTACTGTAAATTAAATAACACTCTCTTCTGCCCTGGGAGAGTTTGCCACTTAATCTTCAAAATATGATGGAGTGGCTCTCACTGGCCTGGCTCTCAGTGAGCCTAGCAGGAAAACCAGCACGAGAAGACCGCACAGAGGTTTTTACGCAACCTACGCGAAGGGTTGGACTTCCTGGAAGA